AAGTACTTTTGTTTTTCATCATACATGATTTTTATTTATTTGGTCTCAAATTTAATGCTTTTTATTCTATCTTAAATGTGCTATTAACCTCATCCTATCAAATGCATTTTTTTTTTGGTACATGGGATCAAATTTACAACCTTGTACTTGCCAGGCAGGTGCTTGTGATGTTGAGCTAAACCTTGGCTCCAAAGCGTGACTGCATGGTCTACATGGGTATAGCTGGCATCAGAGAACCTGGGTTAACAGTGTTAAGTATAGAGTAAGAAAAATTGTCAAATATCACTAAACCTTTAAACAGTCTCCAGAGCACCTTAGTTTTCTTTTTTCTTTTCTTTTTTTTTTTTTTTGTAAGGACCTCACACGTGCCAGATGGGGCTGTGCCACTGAGCTACTTCCCCAGCTCCACTTCTGTTGTTATTCAGGAGGAAGCCATAGCTTTAACTACCAGGTGTGTCACATAAGCATACTTCTTCATGCATTGTCTTCTTTCTGTGGCATAAAAACTACAGTCCTTTATATTACTCTTTAAGGCAGGTTAAATATTCCTTCTCCATGAAAATTTCAGGCCTTTCACATAGTCAACTAATACCATTATACTCTCCTATATTCACGGCTGCCACATATGGTCATAGAGTTTGCACAGTGCACAACATGCATGCCCATATGTGGTGTCCTGACTAATACAATTGTTTCATGGTTTCTGATTTCAGGGTCTCTAGATTCTTCTGAGCAGGAACCATATGTCTTCTGTTGAATGAGCCCTAAACCTACTCTTTCACTGCTCCTTATTATTACTCCCTCCCATCCTGCTAATACTTTAATTCCTATCCTAAATTATTTGTTAACATTTCAAATATTTGTTCCAGACATGATGGCAAGCATCATGTGTGTCATAGTAATCAAACTGTAGATTTTACTTGAATTTCATCACTTTTTGTATTCCAAGGTCCAATCCAGTGCTTCACACTTTCATTCTTATGTCTCCAAAGTAAGTTTCAATCCATGACACTTCCTGATTCTTCCCCCATTCTTTCTGACATTGATGCTTTAAATACTACTGGCTAGGTATTTTGTAGAATGTCCTTTGGTTAGGATTTGCCTGTTGACTCTTCATAAGATTAAATGTATAAGATTAAATGTATTTTTCATAGGAAAAACTGAAAAGTGATATTATCCCCTAGTGGCTCATAGCAGTGAAGGTTGATTCTTTTTAACAACTGATATTATATGAAAGTTCACCGATGGGCATCTGAAATTGTCTCTATTACTTTTTGAATACCAAGACAATATGTCAATGAATGTCTTCACAAATGTATCATGTCTCTCATGTGTGTGTATAGATATATGTCAGGCATTTCCTAAAACATTTCTAGATCAACCTCGTATTTCTGGATCTCTTGATAAATATTACTGACTCTGTACACTGTAAAATTAGTGTACAATTAAAATTTCATTAGTAATGTTCTCCCCACCAATTTGTGAATATAACATCTCTCCCCATAATTCAAATTATGGCTGTTTTTGTCCTATTTCAATAATATAGCAAGTTACACATATGTTTAATGTTTCTTAATATATTATCAGATTTTTGATGCCCAAATTTTTATCTTGATGTTACTAAAATAATTTATTCTATATCAAAAGAACTCAGTAAATAGTCGTCACATGGGCATGTAAACAAGGTGGGTATTAGATCTTTAATATCAAGTTTCTTTATTGTAGGCACTAGACTGCAAGTCAAATTTTGTTTCTAAATAAATATTGGTCTAATGTTCAATGAGATATGATGAAATATAAATAATTAGCTAGGCAGCTCTTAATTAAGAGGCCATCATTAAACAAGTCATCACTACCAAATACATTTGAGATGAGGGACAGATAAAGGTTAAAAATAATTCCTCCTGTATAATTTATATGTTTAAGCCTTTTCTTGGATGCTGGGATTGCTTAGGGAGGATATAACTGGTCCTAACAGTTACAAATGCATTTTATGTATCTTCTCAATGTAGCAACACATTACATGTAAAAATAAAGTTTAATAACCCTCAGCCAAGTTCCACATTGCTAAAGAAGGGACACATCCAATCGGTGACAATCCTCTCTTACCAGTAGTTGAGAGGATTGCTCTAGAAGGTAAGTGGTTGTCTTTTGTAATTCTATCTTGAGAAACTTTCCCTAATGTGACCTGTTATACTAAAATTCAATATTCAAAACTACCTGGCCAGATTTTCACAGCTTACTCACTGCAAAGCTATGAGTCACTGAGGGAGGACGGGCTGAGCCTTTTCTTTAGAACACATGTCAGAATTATTATGGATAACTAAGCCATTTGTAAGCCTTATAAAAAGGAATTGGAAGAAACTTAATTAAAGACAATCTGTTCATTGGAGAATTACACATCAACATTTTTGTTTTCCAGGAATCTTTCATTATTTAAGACTAATTACTTAAGAAATTACTTATAAATAGCTATATTCCAGAGTATCATTTCAAAAGGAGAAAGGTATTGCTTATTAGTAATACTAATTGGTTCCATCTTAGAACTTTCACTATTACAACTTTGCATGTCTTTCAGTGACTCTTTGTAAACAATCCTACTCTATTACTGGGGGAAAAAACTTGTCAAACAACACTTTCCTAATAATATTTGAAAACATAAGTAATGATTCTCAGCAGCAGTTTTACTGGGGTCTTCAGATAATATTGTATTTTGATGGATCTTCCAAAGGCTTTAATTAAGTTCAATGTTAACTAATTTTTGGAAATCTACTACCCCCATATTTTATCTACTTTAAAACTGAACAAAAAACTGAATCCATTATTAAGCAATAATAATTGTTGTGAACCAAAAAAATTGAATCAATTATTAAGCAATTTTGGCTGGCATATATGTTCTTCTTTGGTATAGGATACTAAAATCTGAAATACAAGCAGTCTTAGAAAGTTTGTCTTGCTAGGTCCAGTTTTCTGGCACAAACTACACAACCACAAAGACAACCCTGTGTGGAAATTCCGAACTCACAATGTCCCTCAAAAACACCTTTAGCCTCGATGGTCCAAATAACAACTTCAATATTTTAACTTTACAGCTCCTCTCTCCCTGATGATATTCTAATTTAGAATATGTCTTCTCTTTCTTCTGTTTCTGAATTTCTTTTTATTGATGGAAAGTTGCACATGAAAAACATTTTTACTGTCTAAACAAAATCATGAACCTGGATAAATGAACAGTTTAGTAGTGTAGATTTTAAACATTTGAAAGCTTATAACTACCACTCAGAGCAGTAAAGCTATTTAAGCCTCTAAATATAGTAATGAGCAATAAACACACAGTTTGATACTTAATAACCCATATGTACTCTCATTTAAAGTGATTGCATCATAATGAGTTTTGCCTCATAGCGGGAAAAACCTGTCTAAATATATGTCATTCATATTTCAGATTAAAGTCAGAGTTGTACATGGGAAGGCTAGTGATACCAGAAGCCTTCTGGAACATTCTGCTGTGGGAAATATTGTCATTATTAAATAATTTTCACGTGGTCTGAGCAGGTAAAGAGAATGCACTACTTTTGTATTTTATTTTCCTATTTGAAGACTACCTGGGCACTCTGCCTAAAGCCTGGCAGTTTAAAAGCCTGAGCTAATTTTGAAAAACCTAGCAAATGTTGTAGGCTCTCAATCTAGGTTCCTACAGAAGAGTACAGATTTCAGAAGGCAATTTTCTGTCTTAATTTTATACACTTTATTCACTCATAAAAATAAGCGCTTTTCCAGGCTGTGTCTCACTGAGAAGCAACTTCATCTAACAACAGCTTTGTGGATAAGGGAAGGGGCACACATGTGCCTCAGGTTTGCAGATGAGCTCGCACAGTGAAGAAGCCAAGGAGTGCAGAAAGGCTCCGCTCAAAGCCAGGGGTCACTTGTGCTCCCACTTCCTGCCTTTGCTACAACGTCTCTGACACAGAGATGGGGTACAGTGTCCCTGGCAGTGGGAGCCAGAAAGGGATTTCCCCTGCTCCACTCCCAGCAAAGTGTCTTAGTGTTGAGCACTTAGCAGTGGGTTTAAGGTGACTGAATGTAAGCTATTTCAGCCAAGGAAGACTTGATGAGTGTCACACAGGAAGGATCAAGTCTCTACGCTCCTTCTCTGAGAGAACTATGGCCAATTCAAGTCCTTTTGGAAAGTCCCTCTTCTTGAAAGGGAAACATCAGGGTTCCTTACTAAGCATCTCTTTTGTGTGACATCCTACAAACACGTATGGAAGATGAAAAGAAAAATAACATGTGGCCCGGCTTTCAGGAAGATCATAACCCAGAAGACACATTTCCACAAATAGCTATAAGAAAATGGACAGAGGAGAAAGTCAAGCCAGGGTTTCACCAAAGCTGATAGACTGTTTGAACTTCGCCTGAGAGAATCTTTTCATGTTGAGATCCTGAAACTCTTGGTAGGAATAGTAAAACACAGTTCTGACTTAAAATAAGATAAAATAATATTCCAATGGGTTATATGTATTTAGAACATATCCAAGGTTGCATTCTATTCAAGTTTAAGTCCTCCATCAAGAACTCAAGTGTTATAAACACTCTCTGTGCCCGTCCCCCACCCAGCTGATTGTTAATGTTTACTCATTAGCACTGCCTGACACTCACCTGCTCTCCAGGGATTTGCCAGTGACTACAATCCCAGTCCACGTCCACAAATCCAAGAAAAATGTGGTCAAAGGACATAATAAGAAAGCAAGCTTAGGGAAATCTGCATAGTTTAAACCCATTTGATTTTAAGTAATAGAACTCTCCATCTGTTTCCAATTCTTTTAGAAAACAGAATTGTGTCCTGGAATCCAATAACAGGGATGCAATCAGGCCACAGAAATGGATCCAAATCTGTCTTATATGAGTTCTTGTCAGGACACCTACCTGACTTGTGGTTCCTTCTTATCTGCTAGCTAAAAGATACACCGTCCATATTAAATATCTATTTTAAGTTTTACCTTCAGAAAAGAGGATATTGCTCCTTCCAGTCAATTCCAAATGCCATGGAATAAAGTACAATTGCTGCAGAGGTTGTCTGAGTCACGGTGAATGAAGAAATCACAGACAAGGAACAGAACTCAACAGCAGCAGTAGCCATGCTGAGCAGTTCACCATGAGTGATGCTGTTCCTGTAGGGAAGTCGTGACGTGAAGCATCTCAAGGTATCTCAGTGACGAGTTCACTAGTTCATGGGGACGCAGGTATCTGAGATATATAATAAAAACTTTAGGAAGTCCTGAGAGACATGTAACAAATCCAATCACTCTCTTCATATTTGGTTTTAGAAATCCAGAAGTATCATGTATATTTTTACATGTATTTCATGTGTATTCTTCATAACTCAATTCACTTTATTTTTATATTTTATGTGTAAGTTTTCATTTATTTTAAACATTTTTTCTTTTGACTTAATGCACATCTGTCTTAATTATGAGAGACATAATAATAAGTTTAAATTTGGAAAAGCATTTATATCTTCATCTCAGATAAAATATGTATTAGCCAAATGTGGTGACACACACTTGTAATCTCAGCACTTGGGAGGCTGAGGCAGGAAAATCACCACAAGCCTGGGCTACCTAGTGAGACACTGCCTCAAGAAAACAAAACAAACAAACAAACAAAAAACAAAATATAATAATACTTTTAACAACACAGCCGTACAATTTTGTTAATCTATAAATGCAAAAACTTTCCCAAGGCTTGCTTAGCAAAATTAAAGTTACCTCTGCTTCTGTTTTTATCTTAGTGCTAACTTAGAAATCCTTCCCTGAATTCCATGTTTGTTTTTATCCTCTGTTATAATTACCGCTACCTGGTCCCAGATGCTTTCTTCAAGTTTCCTTTTGAAAGCAAAGATAAAATATTTTTCCTCGTGGTTAGAAATTTCAAACATACCCAAAAGGTACAAAATGAAGGGTCACATTGTGCTTCAAGCACTTTCATGTGTCAAGAAAAGAATTCCTGCCATGTTCCATTCCACGGGGAGGGAGGTGTACGTGGCCCTCCTGTGAAGCACCCTGTCTGTGAGCCTCTCTAGGAAACTGTCACTCCAGCCTCACATTGACTGATGGTTAAAACACAATCCATCAAGGCTGCGGCAGTTAACTTTACACATCAAATGGGCTGCGTCAGGCCGGAGAATGAAGATGCTGTCTGGGTGTTGGTGAGGGCGTCTCCTGATGAGACTGGCATTGGAATCAGAGGACTCAGTAAAGATGACCGACTTTCCCCCATTGGTGGACATCATTCACCCCACTGAAGGTCTAAATAACACACAGGCAAAAGAGGGATTCACTTCTTCTTCCCGCCTGTCTGAGCTCCATCGTCTCTGCCTCTTTGACTGGGACTAGGGTTGTTGGCTTCCCTGGGTCTCGGGCTTTTGTACTAGGATTACAGTATGACTATTCCTGACCTCTAGCTGTGCACCTCAGACCTTAGAGCTCCTCAGCCTGCAAGATTGTGAAAACCATTCTTTATAGTAAACCTATATATCAGTCATCTGCCTCTTTATCTGCTTATCTGCATCTACCCATCCACTGATCTATGACTCATATCTATCTCTGTCTACCCATTTATCTTTCATTGATCCTATTTCCCTTGGAAAGCCTAATATATGAGTATTTTCAGCGTGACCTCAGTAGCTGTATTAGAAGGCCGTTTGTTTAGAAGTGCTGTCCATTACTGAAAGCACCGCAATGGACATGTGCTTGCTTAGCCCTTGTAAGAGGCCTGGCTTAGCATCACCAGTGGTGTCAGTCTCAAGGGTTGGCATTCTGACCTTTACTTAAATATTTATTTACTATTGTACATTAAGGTAAAATGGTTGCTCTAGAAGATGTGTTTGATCTGTTGTAATGTACTTTATATTACTAAAACAGTGATGTAGCACAGTAAAAGATAACACAGTTCTCTTGGAACTCTATTGAACCACATTCAGTTTTTCTCTTTGGAAATCCATTATGAAGTTGTTTCAGATTCCTATTCGAAGAATACTATGAACTACCATTTACTGAAGTAAAGGGGACCTTTGATAGCAGTTCACTTGTGTTTAAATATTAATCATCTATTTTTTCATTCTTTCTATAAACATGCATGAAGCACCTTGCATGCAGTAAGAACTGGATTTACAAAGGTTAACAAGACAAAGTTGCCTTCTCCTTGACCGGCTTACAGCCTAATGCAGGAGTCAGAAATACAAAGTTGTAACTTAATGTGTAAGAGGAAAAGAAAAAGAAGCGATGGGAAACATTCTTTGAGAATATTAATGGGCAAAGGAATCAATTTGGGATCATATTTTAAAGAGAAAGTGTCCTCTGAGCTGAATTTTTAAGACAATTAATTAGAACTTTGGAACTAAAAAAAAAAAAAAAAAAAAAAAAAAAAAAGAAAAGAAGGCACATGTCACAGCTAGTGCCTAGGTGTGACCTGTTAGCATTTGGTGCTGGATGGCTGTGCTTTGGAGAAACTGTCTTCTGCAGTGCAAGATTCTTGGCCTCTATTCGCTGGATTGCAGTGAATATATACACACCCCACACTATACATACTATATAAATCTAAAAATGTCTCCAGGCATTACTATATATATTCGCCGGCAAATATATAAAAATGAAAACACAGACCAACACGGTGCTGGTTAAAGTATCAAATATGGGCAGGGGTTGGCTGCTACTGACCGAGGGGGAGATTATGCCAAAACTTGTATGTGAAGGACTTATACATATGACAGAAGTATAATGAATGATTTGGGATATTTTCTAGATGTCTCTAGATTTTTACTTGTATTAATTTTCAACATTTCTCCAAACAAACCTATACCTCACAAGGGCATTTCAAGTCGCCCATTTCCATACAGCAAATATTACTGATTTCCAAGTACACCCGAAGAAAAGTTACTGTGGCTTCCAGGAATGCCTGGCTACAGAATTTCTTCAAAGGTCCTACAAAATCCCACTTCTAGGAATTTCTTGGATACTATCACTGTCAATTCATTCTGTTGCCTTTCTCAAAAAATAAAGAGCAAACAAGAGCACAGAATTCAGTTGAACCACCATGAATGGCACTTAATAACTATTTATTGAATGAATGTATAAATACAAGAGCCAATTTTAAAGGTAACTAAATGAAAGGAGGTGTCAGGGGGGGGATGTAAGCAAAACAGAGGAGTCAAGAAATAAAGGATACAGAGAAGGGAAGAAGTCTCCTTTTTTATTTTATTATAAAATAATAAATGTTTCTGGTGTAGTTAGCAAGTCATTTCTGTAGAACGCTAAACAATGGCACATTTATTGGAATGTATATATATATATATATATATATATTCCCAAAGGGATGGTTAAAGGGACCAATACACGTTATATTGCAAAAGTCCTGATTGATGAAAAGTCAGTTTCAGTGGATTGTATGCTCAATTCTTAAAAATGATTGACAAAGGAAAAGGGAAAATGCTAAATTGAGAACCACTAGCTATGACTTTTCAGGCAAAGGGTGGGAAGGACTTAACATCTTATACTCAGGATCAAGCTAAATACAGCACAGTGTTCTTTGAGTTTGGCCATCATTCAAACCAGAGATTTGAGATGCTGACACTGTGAAGCAACTGCCTGCTAAGTGTCAAAGGCAAAACCCATCTCACCAACAAGGCTCCTGCATTGTAAATCTAGGGTGCCGTGCAGGGTACCAAGGTACAAGGTGAAGGCTGCCGGCTGCTGAGGCAGAGCCCAGGGACAGCCTGTTTGAACATGGAGGTTGGAGCAATTTAATCTCCAGGGCTGCTGCTCACTTCAGAAGTTGTGAAGGAAAACAGACAACAAAATAGAGCTGTCTCTGGATACACTCCCTCAAAATGCTGTCAGGGCTGTAAGTGTCTCCAGGCATCACTTGCAAGAAGCCTATTTGCAGCCTCAGCCTAGTAAGTAGAATAGAAGCTTTTATCGTGAAACGTATTAGTTTATCAATTAATAGAGAATTAAATTAAAAATTAAATACTGCAAAGTTTCAGACAACAGGAGTTTCAAAAAGTAAAATTTAAAAATGTCAGCATCCAAAAATAATCACTATCACTGTATTAAAATGTGTGAGCTTCCAAAACTAAGGCATTGCATACATTATTCCTTACATATTTCTTATAATTGTCACGAACATACACACACCAGCTTACATCCACGTGTATCACTTCTATTTATATATATTTCCACATTAATTTTATAGCAGAATTGTAACCTGTTAAAACTTTCCTCTTTATAAATACTGCTGTAAATAGTCCTGCAGCATTATCTGCTCACACCAAGAACTTTACGTATTTGTACAACCACTTCTCTCTACTGAAATGACCTATCAGAATCTCTCTTTCAGTGAGTTTGCTGATATTCAGCTATGTTAGGACAATTTTGTTTTACTCTTTATCCTCTGGAGTTCCAACTAAACTTGATTTCATTTATCTCTAAAGGATAAAAGGATAAGAGGGTAGCTTATTGGATAGCTCTTTTCAGTGACTGTAATATTAAAAGTACAGAAGATTATTTTACTTCAAAACTCAACTTCTTATTAACTATAAGTAATTGACGTCCTGGTAATATTATTTTATACTTGGTAAACACAATATATAGGTAAAATATTTAAATAAGAAAAACAGATGGATATTAAGAAGTATAAGGATAAATATATATTGTCATATATTGTGAGTTTTAATAATCTGAGCAGATACAAATGCTGCTTAGATCAACTCCAGTGTTCCATTTTAGCATTCTGCTATTCTATGATCAATATGCTTGTCTTTCAATATTTTTTAAGACACACATGCTGGAATATGCTTGTCTGCTTATGTTAGAGAAGGCCAGCTTTTAATATATTTATCTGTATGCAAGCATTAATGATTCATTTATAAGGAATGTCAGGAAATAAAGTTTGTCAACTAAAGAATTAAGCATATTTCCAGACCACTCTTTGTTTGGTTTTTGTTTGTTTTTGTACCAGGAATCAAACTCAGGACTTCACACTAGCCAGGCAGGCACTTATGTCACTGAGCTATATCCCTGGCCAAGACCACTACTCTTAACCCCTTCAGGCACAAATATACTGTGGGCTTTTTAAAATTTCTTTTTCTTTTTAAAGAGAACAAAACCAAACAAAATAAAGCCCATCAAAACAAAACAGTCATAGTGATACAGGACTTCAAAACAAGGATAATAGGAAATCAATAATGA